GCAATTTATTAATATTAAAGAAACTTAACATCTGATCTAAAATAATTTTTTCAAAAATTTTACTTAATGTTGGTAGTACAGAAATTGGTCTAAAATTGGCGGGGTCATGTACTACCAGATTTAAATATAGGTATGACTTTACTATGTTTCATTAAATCAGGAAACACACCAGATTCGACGCTTATATTAAATATAGTGGCTAGATAAGGTGCTAATGTATCTATTATAGATAAAATAACTTTAACGGAAATCCCCCATAAGTCTGCCGTTTTCTTAACATCAATAGTTTTAAAATATTTAACGATATCTTTTGGCAGTACCCTATGGAATTTAAAAGTATTTGAACAAGCCTTTACATTTTGTTTGAGCAATGATTCGGCGACAGTAGGAGAAGAATTTAATGATTTTGTTGTCAAAAAAGGAACATCAGTAAAATGTTTCTCAAAAGCCATAGCAACTTCTTGATCAGATCGCGTTAAATTATTATTAATATTCAATTGAAAATCCCAGTTGCGCGGTTTGACCTTGCCCGTTTCACTATTTATTATTCTCCAGGTCATTTTAATTTTGTCGGATGCAGTTTTAATTTTGTTGCTTAAATGTAAAGCCTTAGCAGTGGATCACACTTTTTTAAATATTTTAGAATATGTTTTTACATAATCTCTAAATATAACACTACTATTATATGATCTTTCATCATAAAGCTCGTATAACCTTTGCCTACTTTTATAAATTCCTACTGTCGCCCATTCATTAAATGATTTGCGACTGTTAAAAGAGAAAGTTTTAGAAGTAAATATTCTACTAAATTCACAACGTATAATTTCAAATAATGTAGCATACAAACAACGTATAATTTCAAATAATGTAGCATACAAAACATTATTATTAACATTAAAAACGGCAAGTCCCCGGGTGAGGATGGAATTACAGCGGAGCTTCTGAAAGCGGGTGGAAAAACGGTACTAGAAGTCCTTCAGAATCTCTTTAATTCCGTCCTCCATGGTGGCACTACTCCGGAGGCGTGGAGCAGAAGTGCGGTGGTCTTGTACTTCAAGAAAATCGACAACTCTTTCTTGAAGAACTACAGACCGATTTCTGTGCTGATAACTGCAAATAATTACAGCGATAACTGTGCTGTTTTCGAGAGTCATTACGAATCGTCTTGCACGCAGACTTGAGGACTTCCAGCCTCCCGAACAAGCCGGTTTCCGAAAAGGCTTAAGTACCATGGACCACATACACACCCTTCGGCAAATCGTACAGAAGTCTGAGGAGTACAATTTGCCACTATGTCTGGCGTATGTGGACTATGAGGAAGCCTTTGATTCCGTCGAAATTCGGGCGGTACTGCAGTTCCTTCAGCGGTGCCAAGTTGACTGTCGGTATATCGAAGTGCTGAAGTGTTTGTACAGTAGAGCTACGATGGCTATCCGAGTACAGAATCAGAGTACGAAACCTATTCAACTGCAGAGAGGTGTAAGACAGGGTGACGTTATATCCCCGAAACTCTTCTAAATTGGAAGACGTTTTCAAGCTTCTGGACTGGAAAGGATACGGTATTAACATCAATGGCGAGTACATCACTTACGTTCGATTTGCCGACGATATAGTTCTTATGGCAGAATCGCTAGAGGACCTAAGCACTATGCTCAATGACCTCAAAAGTGTCTCCCAACGGATAGGTCTTAAGATGAACATGGACAAAACAAAAATCATGTTTAACGTCCATGTCACACCTATGCCGGTAGTTGTTGGGAACACTAAGCTCGAAGTTGTTGATGAGTATATTTACCTGGGACAAATAGTCCTATTAGGTAAGTCCAACTTCGACCGAGAGGTCAATCCACGGATTCAACTCGGCTGGGCAGTGTTCGGGAAACTACGACACATCTTCTCGTTAGACATACCTCAAAACCTGAAAACGAAACTGTACAACCAGTGCGTGTTGCCAGTGATGACTTACGTATCTGAGACGTGGTCCTTCACTGCTGGCCGTATGAGGAAGCTCAAGGTCCTTCAGCGAGCTATGGGGAGGGTATGCTCGGGGTGTCTCTGCGTGATAAACTTAGAAATAGGATATCCACAGTAGAACAAGAGTAACCGGCATATCTGTTGTCACTCATAACTAGATGGAGTGACGACCTGGTAAGATATGCAGGAAGTCGATGGATGCAGGTGGCTCAGGACCGTGCCTTGTGGCATTCCTTGGCCTATGTTCAGCAGTGGACTTATGAAAGGCTGTAATGATGATTATGATGATGATCGATTGTGTAAAAAAATTTAATAAATCACAATAAATAAATATATGTGTTCATTTACTTTCTTTGCCTAATATAAATATTTTAAGACAATCGTTTTCAGGAGTACATTCTAGTGACGCGTTGGGTTACACACATAATTATTTTTTACGTTACGGGAAGACTTGCATATTTTATACATGTATTATTTATATAAATTTATACTATAAATAATACATGCCACTATCACAGACACTATTCTTCAAAAAATTTGTTTTAAATTATTAATGTTAGATATTTGTTATATTTCATCGCTTCATTTTTCAGATATAATATTTACCACGTAGTAACTTAAGGCGCAGGTTGAGCAAAATGTCGCGCTAGTCGTTATTTGTGCGATTTTTAGGAGCTATCTACTTTTTATTTAAAAGATATATCAACAAATAAAAAACACATTATATTTCTACATAATCTTGATTCCATAAAAGCTATATCCAATTTTTTTTTAAAGGAATAAATATTAATATAATCTCCTTACAACGAAACCACATAAATGTGAAATTATTATTGATAACATGAATCTCCTCCTAAAGTAAGTATTATTTTATTTTGCGATTTACACCAATGGATAGGCAATTTATTAATGAACATTTCTATAGTAAAATTTTTTTCAAAAGTCCAAAATTTGATTTTATTAAGAAATTATTTTAAAATCTGGGCGTATTTACTGCCCACGGGCTTGTTGGAGTCAGTGAGCCCTGAGCTCTTCGACGTGAAGCCCGTGTCGTTAGAGCGTCTGCCAGCGCGCACGCGCGTAATATTATAATATTATTACTTATTAGGTTATTTATAGGTAGTATTATTTGTTTGTTTTGGGTATAATTTTTCGTATTACTTATACATATATTTGTTGTGTTTTTTACTGCGCGATGAAGCTTTTTGCGTGTATTTTCTTTGAAGTAAATGCAAATAAAAAAATTAAGCACCATTAGCATGTAAGGTTCAAATCCATAATTAAAATTTCGACAAATATTATAATTTACACTATAAAAGGCTAATTCAATATTATCACCCAACCACAACTTATTAGATATAGTACTGCCTCGTTGGTCTAGTGGTTGTAGTAGTGCGACTGCTGATCATGAGGTCCCGGGTTCGAATCCTGGGTCGGGCCAAAAAGTCAGTTATGAGTTTTTCATTTATGTTCTAAGTTATAATTAGTATTACTAAGTTATAGTTTTTTGCTAAAATATAGTATATTATTTATTGCTTGTTTTTTCTTCTTTTTCAAAAAATAATTGAGTACATAAGGTGTTCTATACTTATAATTCGGTAAAAAGTATCTAAGTAGGTACTAATATACCTACTTTTTACTATGTAAAAATTTTTAAAACTAAATTTAACTAAAAAGACTAAACTGACCATTTATTTTTAACTCAAAACAGGACATGGGTTTATTTACACTCTAAAAACTATAACTTTACACAATTAGTGTTCAATATAAAATTATATTCGGTATAGACGGTAATTATTAAAAGCAACATATTTTTTTTTAATTATTAATTACATTTGTCAGTGGATTAAATTTGCTTTAATAAAGTTGGTGATAATTTTAAATAAGAATAAAATTCTGCTTAAGTTTTTTTTATTGTTACCTTTGTTAACAACATCGCCTTTAGAACTAGAACCGTAAGTGTTTCTTTCAGACGTCCACAATTTGTTCAAAATAAAAAAATATTCTTTCTACTGGAGCATTTGTACCAGGGAGACATAAAATATATTCGATTAAAAAAAATTATGTTGAAGATTGTTGACTTTGAATACTTCCATCCAACGAGTTACGGAGCAATTTTGTGTCCCGGAGCTTTGTTTGGGGACAATGGGACAGGCGACTGAGAAAAGGGACAGTCCCGTTCAAAACGGGACGTATGGTCACTTTAGCTATAAACCGGCGACGGCTCCGTGGCGCACTGGCTTAGCAATCAGTTGCTGCACTGGCGGCCGCGGGTTCGAATCCCGCACAGAACAAGTATTTGTATGGCCTACAAATAATTGTTCCGGGTCTGGATGTTTGTCCTTGTGCAATTTATGTTTGTAAACTGCCTCCACGACTCTCATTCTATATTACTCTCACTCTGCGAAACATCCTATTTATTTATTTATTCTTTATTGCACCAAATATTTGTACAAAAGGCGAGCTATCTATCTATTTACCTATAGTGAGTAGGTATCTTTTAAACTCACAATTTTCAATGCTTCATTTTTAATATATAATTAATTATAAAATTTCATAATTAGATAATATATGAGAATACATAACTCTAATATAATGCAACTAATATACCGAATAAAAAATTTGAGATACATTTATCGTTGTACGCTGTGTGTATTTCCATAAAATAGTTTATTGATGTTGAAAAAATACTACGTTCTTACAGTAGGTGGCGCCTTACATATTTCTTACGTGATATTATATTGTAGCGAGTCGGCGCGGCACACCAAATGCTCAAGGTCGTTCGCATGGAGTAGCCCCTTAAACCTACAGGTGACTTTGCACGCTTTAAGAGACAGTCAATTGACTCAAAACAAAAGTGGCGGCATACTTCCGCTACTGTCTTGTCTTGCCAAGCGGAGCCGTGCCGCTGAGAGCTCATTCCTTTTTCGTGCATGGTGACGACCACACGCATTTTACTGGAAGTTGTGATAGTTTCCTAAAAAATATATAACTACATTTATACGTAACAAAGTTAAGTTTTAACAATGCCGAAACGAAGTGCTGACGAAAAAATCGATCTTTATCTAAATAAAATTCAAAGATTAACAGCTGAAAAAAGTGTTGTACGACGACGATGGCGAGTGCGTGTTATTTCGAGTGATTCTTCCGAAGCAAATGAAGGTTAGTTTTACTATTTTCTTTTTTATAATTTGCCTCTGTTTCGCAAATTATGGGGACTGACTGCGAGTCATACCCACATAACTTCTGTACAAGGAGTTGACATTAAATAATAACGTTGTATAAGTCCTATCGGGGTTGACAGCGAGTTTTCTACGATAAGTGATGACAACGTCTAATTAACATTAGTGTTAATTCTTGGCTTAATTAACCCTAAAACCTATGTTTTAGGTTGTGGCGAAACAACGCAGCGCATAGCAATCGCCGAGGTCCACCGACCGCCTTCGGGAAAAATAGATCCATCATGGAACGATGCTGCGGGTGCCTCCCCCGAGGCAGAAATACCACGAGATATTGAGGCAGAAACACCACGTGATAATGAGGCAGCATCACCTTGTGATAATGCAGAACTCATGGCAGAAATTCCTATTTCTATGTCAGAGCATCCACTGCCAATGCCAGCTGCCGAGCCAAATGAGGCCGGACAGTCTTTAGAGGCGTTATAGTATGAATTGGAGTTAGACCCTGATTTATTGGAGGCTCTAGGTGAACCCACAGATGCCGCTCCTGAATTTGGACCTAAAATTCATGATAGTTTGGCAAAACTATGGCTCCCTTTACTGAAAAAAGGCATGACTAAAGAGAATAAAGATAAGATTATGAAACAATACCTGATACCAGATAATTGCCGGTTGTTACAAGCCCCGAAAATAAATGGAGAAATTTTTTCGGCCATTCCGGAAGTAGTCCGTAACAGAGACAAAGGACTTTCATTTCATCAACAACAACTCGGTTGTGGCATTACGGCCATAAATAGAGCATTGGATTTGCTTTTAAGGGGGGACAATAAAAAGGAAGCCATCCAACATCTCAGTAATGGCTGTCGTATATTGTCTGACCTGCATGCAACATCCACTCAGACTCGTATAAAACTTATTACTCCGAGTCTTGACAAGAATTTCCATCACGTGATCCAGGATACAGAAAGGGACGAAACCTTGTTTGGTAATAAACTTTCTGAGAAAATTAAGCCAGCAAAAGCAATAGAAAAACAAGGTTTACAAATAAAAAAGACGAATATTTCAAAGGCTCTTAATTCGTCACAGTCGCCGGGAATTCGTCCATACAGTTCGGGAAACTGGACAGCCCCTCCTCGTCGCTGGCGAGGAGGGTCGAAACGAAGCAGTGGCAGCCGTCGCTATCAGAGCACAGCGACACCGCCGCGCCCTCCCGCACAACTAGCAGCGACCGCGAGCAAGGCGCGTGCGCCGACCACATAATAACTCAGGTACACGCTGGCAGAATTCATTACTTTTATAATTGTTGGCTAGGCATTACTTCTAATAAGGAAGTGTTAGACTTGGTACTTAACGGTGTTTCTATACCATTTTGTAAGGAACCCATTCAGCAATTGGTTCCTCGTTGTTTCTTTTCACGATCGGAGAAACTTGATATGACTGTTGCTATTAATAAATTGTTAGAGCTAGGGGCTATTATTGAATGTTCTCCGAGCAAGGGCCAATTTATATCAAAGATATTTCTTGCACCGAAACCAAACGGAGGTAAACGCTTCATATTAAATCTAAAATCATTAAATAAATGTATTTCAAAGCCCCATTTCAAAATGGATGACTACCGAACAGCTTTTAAATTAATACCACAAGATGGATATTTAGCTACAATCGACTTAAAAGAAGCATACCTACTTGTGCCAATCCATCCCCGACATAGGAAGTATTTACGATTTCAATTCGAAACTCTTGAAAATAAGTTAGTCACTTATAAATTTACAGCTATGCCCTATGGACTTTCTGTGGCACCTAGGGTTTTTACAAAAATTATGAGAGAAGTAATTTCCTGTTTGAGAAGTCGTGGTCATGATTCAGTTATCTATTTAGACGACACTCCTTGTATAGGTAGTAATTACCACATGTGTTCTACCAATGTAAATGACACATTAAAGTTAATGAAGTGTTTAGGATTTATTATAAATGTCGACAAAAGTTATTTACAACCTAATCAAACGTGTAAATTTCTAGGTTTTATCTTTAACACCACAAATTTGACAATATCTCTTCCGGAAGAGAAACGTACTAGTATTATTCAATTGGTTCAAAAGTTTTTGCGAATATCTCATTGCACTATCCGTGAATTTGCACAATTGATTGGAGTACTTATTGCTGCTTGTCCAGCAGTTAAGTATGGTTGGCTTTACACTAAGATGTTAGAAAGACAAAAGTTTCTTGCATTATTGAAAAATAACAATTATGAAAAAGAAATGGAAATTCCAAAAACTGTTTCTCCAGATTTAAACCGGTGGAGTTCAAGTGCACTTACTACATCAAACCATATGCGAAATGCTGGTTTTAAAATGGAGATTTACACTGACGCATCTCAAACGGGCTGGGGCGCAGTTTGCAGCGAAAATCGCGCACATGGTTGGTGGTCAGTGAATGAACGTGAATTCCACATTAATTATTTAGAATTGTTAGCAATTTTTCTAGGTCTAAAGAGCTTATCATGCAATGAGTCAAACTGTTCAATTCTATTACGTGTCGATAACACCACAGCTTTAAGCTATGTGAACCGAATGGGAGGGATTCAGTTCCCTCATTTAAATGATATTACACGTTGAATTTGGCGATGGTGTGAAGAGCGCAACATAGTCATTTATGCATCATACGTCAATACAAAAGATAACCGCGCTGACGCTGAATCAAGGATTGTAAACCCAGATACCGAATGGGAGTTGTCAGACTGCGCCTTTCACTCCAACATGTCGCATTTTGGCCAACCGGAAGTTGATTTATTTGCCTCTCGTACCAACGCCAAATGTCCAAGTGTTGTGTCCTGGAAACCGGATCCAGAAGCAATGGCTGTAGATGCGTTTACTATTAATTGGAATAATTGCTACTTTTATGCTTTTCCGCCTTTTTCAATTATTTTAAAGTGCTTGAGAAAAATTGTAGATGACAAGGCAGACGGTATTTTTGTTTTTCCATTTTGGCCTTCACAGCCCTGATTCCCGCTGTTACAGAGATTAATGGTATCTGATATTTTGTACCTCAATCCTCATAAATTCCTATTGCAATCTAATTTCAGGGAACATCACCCCCTGCATGCACACCTTACCCTGGGTGTCGCGAGGCTCTCCAACAAGCCTTCGCTCAACGAGGATGCCCTCCAGAGGCTTTAGTTTTAATGCTGGCTTCGCTCTCTGAAAGTACGGTAAAACAATACAATGTGTCTTACAAACTATGGTGGCAGTTTTGTAACCAACACATTATAAACGTTTTCTCACCATCTTTATCATTTATAATGTTATTTTTGACTGAAAAGTTTAATGCAGGTTGCTCGTACGGTAGTCTAAACTCGCATCGATCTGCGTTATCATTGCTCGTTGGTAGCAATCTTACTGCCGATGATAGCGTAAAACGATTGCTTAAAGGGGCATATAAATTGAAACCAAGTGTTCCCAAATATATCCAAACATGGGACCCCCAAATTGTTTTAAATTACCTAAAAGAATGGTTTCCTAACATACATTTAAGCCTGGAAAAAATTACAAAGAAGCTTGTGACCTTGTTAGCTATTTGTACTGGTCACAGAGTCCAAACTCTGTCTCTTATAAAATTGGAAAATATTTCATTTACAAGCAGTGGTGCAAAAATAGTAATTTCAGATTTAATTAAGACGTCCGCGCCGGGTCGTGATCAACTTGTATTAGTATTACCATTTTTTACACATAATTTAAATATATGCCCTGCAAGTACATTAAAAGATTACATTTCTTTTACAGATAATAAAAGATTGAAAAACAATGGTAATCTTTTATTAACTTTTAAACATCCACACAAACCAGCCACGACCCAAACAATAAGTCGTTGGATAAAACAAGTACTTTCTGAGAGCGGAATAGACGTGTCGGTGTTCGGTGCTCACAGCACACGACACGCATCTACTTCTGCCGCTTTCAGCGCAGGCGCCAGCGTTGACACTGAATTGATCGATGATGGAAACTTTGCGAAGTCTGTCTGTTTATCATCAAGATAATTAATGATTGTCGCATGAATTACAAATTAAATTATTATTCTAGAATAAAACAATATACTAATTGCAAATAGTTTTATTTAAACCACAGCACAACTTTCGGATGAACTCCTCTAAAAATCTACGTGGTAAATATTATATCTGAAAAATGAAGCGATTAAATATAATATAAGATCAAACGAACTTCTCAAGTGAAGTTCAATCATTATTATATGAATCGCTTCATTTAAAGATATAATTCATTATCACCCACCCAACCCAAGCTACGCTCTACCCAGGAAAGCTTTTAATCTCTAAAGAAAATGAGCTCTCAGCGGCACGGCTCCGCTTGGCAAGACAAGACAGTAGCGGAAGTATGCCGCCACTTTTGTTTTGAGTCAATTGACTGTCTCTTAAAGCGTGCAAAGTCACCTGTAGGTTTAAGTTACTACGTGGTAAATATTATATCTTCAAATGAAGCGATTCATATAATAATGATCGAACTTCACTTGAGAAGTTCGTTTGATCTTATATAATAGAAGTGAATACTTTTGTATTATATAAATGCGAAAGTATTCAATTTAACTTAATAAATTTTATTAACAGGGATTTCGTTACCTAAATTTTTAAGCCCAAAAATACTTTTACAAGTATAATTCAAAGAATAAACCCTCCCTGAGGTCGCATTTCTTTCCACAAATATCTTATAAATTTTCATTACGGCTTTTACCTATCTTCGTGTAGTAAAATAGGTGCATATTATTTATCATACAAAAATCTTTAGAAAAATTTTATTAAATAATACCTTTTATCCCCAACTTTGAAAAAAACTGCAGATCTAAAATAGCGTAATAGTATATTTAGGCAAGTGGCTTAATTACCGAAAAATCTCATTAAACAAAGGTTTTTTATTTAAATATTTTCTTGAAAAATGTGTGCGAAATAAAACAAAATTCAACAACAAAAATTGAAGATCTATTATTTTCACGTAAAATGTTCATCACTCATATCATTTGTGTAAAATAATTCATAATTTTGTTGTAAAATTATTTTGAACTAAAATAGTAGAACTAGAAAATAAAAGGGAACTATGAAGACACAATTTGTAAGAACCATTTAGTGATAAATTGCGAACCAAAAATTTTGTAACAAACCTTTTACTATTTGTGTATTTATTTTATCAGTTTTTCACTTATACACAACCAAAACCTCCTTTTTTCGGATAAAATATAGTGTAGATCACTCCGGGTGTTCGCGCTAAACGCTAATTTCAAGAACGAACGCGAGAAGGCGCGCGGCTCAGTGTCATACCGGTTTGACATTCGGTCGTGCGTAAAACGCCCAAGGGCAGTCAGTCATCCTTAAGCGGTGCTAACGATTGGCACGCTGTATTCTGTTAGGGAACTCGGAATAATTAGGTGCGGCCCGTAAATATACGGTCTAGGATTTTGTGACGCGCATTCCTACTGGAGAGCTT